TTCCAAAGCAAGTTCTTTCGTGGTTGTTGCCATTCCTTGTGGTCTGAACCAGTCGAAGAGCGCTGGGGCCCCACATTGTGTTGCCCTCGCCAAAGTGGAGCGTGAGAACCGGAGGGCAACAAGATAACGAAGGCCTGTGCCCTATGACCCAAGTAAGATAGCAACAAGACTGCGTTCGGGAGGCCCCGTCTTCAAGATTTGCGAGGCCTTTATTGCACGCCACGTTGCCTCTGCGCGCATGTGCTGAGGCAACTATTGGCCAAGGCAGCGCCGTTGTTGCCCAAGCAGGTACCCACCGCGGGCCTGTTGCCTTGTACCCTGTGTTGCCCCCGGTATTAGCGGTGTTGCCCCTTTCCAAGGTACCCGGTCCCCGGCACCTTACTCTCCCAAGAGTTCCAGTTGTGTGTTGCCCGGGTCTGGCACAGTTTCTGACACAACGCTTTTCACTTCCAGTCGAAGATAGTGTAATGTTGCCTCAGCCTTGTGTTGTCCTTTTTGCTCCCGGTTGTACAATGACCGAGACAGTGACGTCACTCCCCCAGGCCCAGGGCACCCCCAACATGTTTCCGAGTGGGGGCATGCCCATACATGTGCTTCTGGGCCAAGGTTTACCCCGGCAACATGAGTTGGAATGGCAACAAAGGCTACCGTGCACAGAGGGCAACAGGGCAACATAGGGGTACCGAATGTACTCTTGCAAAACCCCCCGGGGACCCCCCAAATATTTTTTTCTTAGTTTTGTATTTTGCTTTAGGTCGATTGACACCTCCTTTTCAAGTTTCCGGTCAAAAGGTTCACTTTTGGGTGTTGTTGCCACGCGTTTCCATTGAGTGTTCAAGAATGGCAACAAAAGGCAACACCCGCCGACAAAGGGTTAAATTGGATTAGGTTGTGTCCCAAGCCGCGCCCTTCTTTTAGGCCAGTACGGGAATTTATGGGGCGACGTCGGTACCTAGATACGCGCCGAAATATCCCGGTACAACCTGGGTCATACTTTACTGAAGTCGGTCCACCGCCGGTCTCCTGCAAGTTTTCGGTTGTTTTCGAAACTGCCGGCCGGAGGTTTATCGAAGTAAGGTGAGTCCGGAGATCATGCTGATCTCCCCCTGCATCCCCCTGGTGTGGACTAGGCTCCCAGTCGGCCTTCCACCCTCCGGAGTAACTCGCCGAGTAGTTAACCCGCCCAGACACTTTTTGCCCACAGTGGGAGCCGCTCCCACCGTGGTTCCCGGGACCTTCCGGTCCCACATTTTGTTGTAAGTACGGGACTTGTGACGTCGGCGTGACGTCAGCACGGTCCATACTTCCAACACTTAGCTGGAGTAATTGCGTCTCTGCAAACTTGCTCGTAAGCTATGCAACGTCTCATAAGCTATGCGATAACAAGCAAATCATGCAATATGCTATGCAACCGATGCTCTGCTATGCCGATGCCATACAGCGTGACAGCTGTCGTGATGCTACGTGTCGTGTCAGTAAAACCTCGGGTCCTGTAACCATGCGCAATCTAACGTGCTCAAAATAAAAAACTATCGCGGCTAATCCGTCACAATCAATCCTGGCATGGTCGTGTAGTCGTCGTCATGCAGAAAACGTAGGAATTCATGGTACTCCTCCCCAGCTTGGCGAAGTCGTCCCGACGTAGCCTCTTGAAGTTCTAAGAGTAGCCTTTATAAATAAGGCAGTCGTAGTAGTCGTCTAGTCGTCGTCGTCGTTGCCACCTCGGACAGAAACTAGGTGCCCTTTGGCATGCGCTTCACTGGTGGGATCAAGCAGTGCATGTGCCAGCCCTCGTCGCAGTTGTCGCACAGCAGCATCTTTGCTGCGCCAATCGTCTTGTGGCAGACTTGGCAAGCCTGGTCCCGGTTTGCCTCGGTGAACACAGGGTCCTGCCAGAGGTCGATGTTTGGGTTGTGGCACGAAGCTCAATTCTCGACGTGCTCAATAATCGTCTTGTCGTCACGGCCCTCTAAAATGAGTCGGCCCGTTCCCTTCAGCTCCTTTACGCGCAGAATCAAGCGGCCGACTTTGGGTTCAGGGAGTCAACGGGCTGCGGCGTAGGTAAACCAAATCGACAACTTCATATTGACGCAGTTTCGGTTTGGAGTCTCCTGACCGGGTGTGCGCGTAGCGCAGGATGTCCCGGTGCTTAGCGATGGTGAGTTTGTCGAACGCCATGGGTACGATCTTTTGGAACAGCTCAGCGCGGTCGTGTAAGAATTTTGCGCACAGGATGGGATCGTCAAGATCAATTGGCTCCTGGAATATGTCGCGAATCTTGCTCCAGACAATCGGGTGTTGGCCAAAGAGCCGGTAGTAGGGTGAGTAATCCTCAGGGACGCCTGTCGGCTCATCCGGCACCCCATGGCAATCCACTGGAGAAAATGGTCCTAGAGCCGCTTGTTGTCGGAACAGGAGGCCGTTCTTGCGCATCGCCTTCTTGACGATCTGCACTATGCGCTCGACCATTGATTTGCGGGTGGTTACGCGAGACCCAAATGTGGTCAATGTACAAGGCAATCATGAGCTCATCGAACTCGCCCTTAAACTCTCGGCCCTGGTCGGTCACGACCTCAGCGGGCGCTCCAAAAGGCGGCTGCGACGTCCTTGGCCTCCTTGGCCGGAATTGCACGGAGCTCCATCCACTTTGTAAAGTGCTCCACCATCACGACGACGTACCAGTTGCCGTCGTCGGACTTTTGTGGCAACTTGCACAGGTCTACGCCCCATCGATAGAACATGCCCATGATAGGCAGAGGCTTGGGCTCAGGGTCCTTGACGTCGAACGTCGCCTTGAACCGATTGCAGACGGTGCAGGCAGCTACCTCGTGCTCGACCTGACCGTACATTCCGACCCACCAGTAAGTGGGGCTCAGCAATGAGTAGGTCTTCAGGACGCCATAATGGCCGACATCCTGATGCACACGGCAAATCAGGTTCGCGCGCAGCTCTAGACGCGGAACAATCTTTGTCGCGCCGTCAACGAGGCGTTTTCACAGGATGGCGACCTTCAGCTGATAGCTCTGGGCTCGGTGCCAGATGCGATCCTTCTGCTCTGGTGTCGCGCCGTTTTTGCTCGCGCCGTCTTCGGCTGCCTCCCGCAGCGGTCCACGATCGCAAGTGCCTGCGCGTCTGCAGGGCTTTCTGCTCGCGGCTGTGCAGGGCATTAGACCTACGAGTCTGCAGGGCTTTCTTCCGGCGCGTCTGCCAAGCTTCTCTCTGGTGCCTGAATGTCGTCAAGGCTTAGTAGGCGCGTCAGCTCCTGGTCCTCTGGCTCGCTCAATGTGCCGGCCAGGATGGCAAGGCAAGCCGAGATAGCAGGTAAGTCCAGACCAACGTAGTCCATTCGAGCATCTGTCAAGTCATCATCCTTTGGAAGCAGGTTCCTTGTGCCCATCCAGGTTTTTGACTCCACTGCGGTGCACAATCGTCAGATCATATTCCTGCAGGATGTTCGCCCAGCAGGCATGCATGCCCGTCAGCTTGGTGTTCGTCATCAGCCACTGCAACAGCTCGTGGTCTGTGATCAGCGTGAACTGCCTCCCATACACGCGGAAGTAGCAAACTCCCAGACGGCAGCTAAGCACTGTCCATGGTAGCCGGAGAAGTTTCGCTGCATTCAATTGTTGCTGCGTGACGCGTATGCGACCACGTACTCGTTCCCTTCCTCGTCACGCTACGCGAGAACAGCGCAAAGCCGAGTGCTACTCCAGTTGGTGTGCAGCTCAAAGGGTCTGGTGAAGTCGGGGCGCCGCAAGACGGGCGCTTCAGTCAGCTTGAGTTCGAGCAGCTGAAAGCCTTCTGCTCGTCAGTATCCCCAGATAACGCCGTTCTGAAGCAAATGGTTTAGAGGGGCGGCGATGCACGCATAGTTTTGGACGTATCTCCGGTAGTAACTGCAGGTGCCTAAGAAGGCTCGCAGCTCAGAGATGTCCCAAGGCGGAACCATCCGTACGATGGCTTCCACCTTCACGTCCTGCGGCGCTCTCTCGCCAGGAACGACAAAAGTGGCCCAGATAGGGCAGTGTGCGAACGGCCAGCATCTTCTTTGGGTTAAACTTAACTCGCTTTGTGCGCAGATGTATCAGGTGCTTGTCGACCGACTTGCTGTGAATGATCATGTCAGGCCATATGGCATCGTTGTTGTGAAAAATCGCAAACGTGACTGTATTGAATATTCCCGTGAAGTTGAAGGAGTCTATAACATTGAATGGAAAATAGCGACCAAGGTGCCGGTTGCGCAATGCGATCAAGGCTATGTGTTGTAAGCCTCTATAACTCGAACACAAGGGTAATACTAGTTGTAGCAAAAAGCAAGGGGAAGTGTTGTTTATTGGCTAACTAGCATACGCTTGTGTTGCGCCCAAAGCGAGGCGGAGTTGAGCTCAAAAGGCGTTGAGTTTTCGTATTGTTGTGGCTGCGAAACCGTAGCGGAATTACGGCGGATTTGCGGCCGAATTGCGGCGGAATTTGGTGTTACCGGATTTAGACCGTCGATGGGAGTTTCGATGGCCAGATTAGAGTTGGAGTTGAGGAGTACGATTTTAACCTTCGATATAATGAGTCGACGGCCGGGATTTGGCCCGCCGAAATTATGAACCAAATTAGCCCACAACGAACTCCGAATTTACAACCTATAAAACTCGGGCGAAAGTTGGCGTGCGATTTGACTTTCCGTGCGTTGCTAGAACCTTCGCTAAATCTTCCTACTAGTGATACGAGCTAGAGCAGCAGAGCGCCAACCAGGACTTGTGCCAAGGACGAAGGGCAGTGAATTCAAGTCTTTGAGAACCGCCAAGGACGACGGGCGAGGTTGATGAACTAATGTGAGCGCAAACTTACGAGGAGGCGGCGGCGGTTCCGACAACGACAGTAGCAACACAGAGTATTAGTAGAGTGTATTGCTTGTGTTGTGAATTGCTTGGTTTGGCAAGTGAATTTGTTTGAGGCGCACCGATTCGCCTATTACACAAGCTTGTTTTGCCTCTCTCGATTCGTTCCATCCTCTCATCTCATCCAATTTGCTAGTGCCATAACAGAATTTCCGCATGGTGCCTGGGGTGTTTGCACATGTGTATTGAATGCCGTATATGAGATTGGCCGTGAATGCTTTAAATGCTATGCTTCCACTTGTGATGCCGGGACGCTGCTGTCGATCCGCGTCCTCTCTTATGGTATCATGCACATCAAGATAAATGCGCTACCATAAAGCTTGAAATGTATGAGAATTTACTTGTGCCGAAGTGTTTAACTTTTGATTGGCCGCAATCGATTAACAGCAATAGGAGTATTACCACCTATATGCTCGTGCGATGTTCTCTTATAGCGTGGTTGTGCTATCCGACAGCCACGTCGTCGATGTGACAGCGGCAGAACTTGCGCAGCGCACTCAGTGTAGTGTCCAACAGCCTGTGAAAGAAGGCAAGGTCGTTTTTCAGCCCGAAGGGCATGACAACCCACTCGTAGAGACCGTCGTAGCCCCAGAACGCTGTTTTGCAGATGTCCTCTTCTGCAATGGCCACCTAGTGGTAACCCTCGCAGGTCGTCGAATTTCTTCTCAGAAGTCGGCAGCTGGTCACGTATTGGTCTGGGATGCTGACCTTGTTCAGTCTTCGATAGTCACCGCATGGTCGCTTGAACGCGTGGCTTCAACGTCCAATTGCCGTGCTCATTTTTGTTTGGAAGCATGGTTGTAGGCGAGGACCATGGGGACACTGAACGGCGAATAAAGCCGCACTTCAGACGCTTTTCGACTTGGTTCTTCAGAATGTCTTTTCTCGGCGTAAGCGAGCCGGTATTGGTGTTTGAAAACCGGGATATCATCCGTAACCGGAATCTTCAACTTCATCCCGGCGACTGTGGACATTTCGGACATATCGACTGCTTGCACGTCACGAAAACCGTCCATCAAGTCCTGAAGAGCTTGCTTCTGCTCAGGCGTAAGGTCTGCTCGCCCGCCCAAGCCCCAGTCGAGCTTCTCAAACTCTCCGCGGACGGCAGTAGGTCCGAGAGGTCCGCGGAAACGGGGTCTGGCTCTGGTTTGCCGGGGTCTGTCTGCAGTATGCCAATCTAGCCTCTCCCCCCCCCAGCCGCTGCCGGCGGTCGACTCGAAGCCGTGTCAAGCGGCTGTCTCTGAGGTGGAAGTACAAGTTTCCGAAACTTGCGCTGCTGGAGAAGACCCGGGTGATGCGTCGCCACCAAGCCGGGCTCTCCTGAAGCATAAGGTGCCATTAGGGCCGACCACCCGCTGGCGGTGGGCCGCATCAACCGTCAATTCAAGGAAATTGCGAACTGATAGTAGCACTTGATGCTGCTGACCAGGTAAGGTCAAGGCATGCATGTCCATCGTGCTTTCCAGCAAGCGCCGGCGGTCCGACTTGGAAATTGGTAGCCCAGCCAGAGTGGTCTTCGCCCAAAATCCCATTGCGCGCTCGCGCTCGAGGGCGGTTGGCTTTTATTGCCCGCCATTGGCGGCCAAAACCATGGGGTGCTGTCCGACGCGGTAAGGTGGGATTCCACGCGCAGAGACGAAAGTGGAGAGAGAGCCCGAGATGGCTGTCCTATCTCATTCACGCGGTGTCGACCTGGCGCACTAGAGTGCTTGGCTCTTTGAGCGGTCTTGCTAAGTTCCAGAATGTCCTGAACTCGGCGAAAATCGGGGCGTTGCTTGAAGCGCTTCTCAACCATCTCAGTAATGAGCGGGCAGGGGACTAGGTTGATCCATTAGCGACGGTTGCAGTGGGCGAGCGAGCCCGCAACAACTGCGTCAAACGCAAAGCTTGGTTTAAGTACCCCCTTGACGACGTCGTAAACTCGTCGCGAACGTCTGCCTGCGAGTGATTGCTGGCGTCGACGTTCTCAAACAGGTAGGCGCAAGGTCCATGGACCTTGGTTACAGTGTGCACTACCCGAATGGCCTCCCAAAACAGCTTGGTGCGTGGGTTGCGCAAACCTTTGGCCTTGCTGGCCGCTCTCAAAAATCCCTGACACGGAAATTCATAATCAAGTCAAGCTTCTTCAAGCCTTCGATATGGCCTCGTGTCACATTTTAAATGTTGTCAAGAAGGGCGCCTTGGACGTTTGAGAATGCCTCAGGGCTCAGCCGGCCGAGGTACATCTCCTGAAGTTTCCCCATCGGAATCGGCTACCTTCTGTGACTTCTTGTCTAGCTCGCAAGCGTAGACCTTTCGAAAATTTAGGCCACTGCGCACCAGCGCTTCTATGGTGGCCGTCAAGCCGCTAAATAGCTCAATGATTACCAGTCCCGGTCCAGCCACCTCCAGGAGGGCCCGTTTGTCGATCAGGCTCTGGTCCGAGGGTCGGATGTGCTGGAACGCGGGGTTCCTGATAGGCCTCGGTGGGGCAGCCGGCATAGCCAGCGCGCGCACACTACGGTCGAAGATATCTGTCGTGACTGTCATTGTTCGGTGTTGTACTGATCAAGTCGGCGTCGAGCTGTCTCAGCTTCCAAACGCGAGATCGGTGTTTTGATGTGCAAGGGCATAACTGCCCCAAGTTAGCCGCGAAGCACTGGTGTATAAGCATGCAGCGGGGAGCGGCCGTACTCAATCGGAAATTCACATTGAAGGTAGGCGAAGTTGCGCTCACGGTCTGTGTTCGGGTCCACATAATACTTCACCCGCTGCTTGCGGAGGTTCGAGATGATACGGTCCCATGACACTCATCCCGATCGGTGTGTCAGGCAGATCGTGGGAAGCGATTGTTGAGATTAAGGAGTCTTTGGTCTTAATCTCTGTTGAGATTAAGGAGTATTTGTCTTGATTACGCCCTAATATCCTATACCATTGTAGTGTGGTGGGTCCATTGTGTGATGCATAAGTTTGGTCTTAATGATGCCAAGATTAAGGTCTTAATGTGGATGAGATTAGACCGGATGAGGCCGAGATTAAGGTCTTAATGTGAGATTAAGGACTTGATGTTAATGTGCTGTAAGATTGACATCTGAAGGTGGTTAAGATTAAGATCAATCGAGATTAAGACAACCAACGTAAAGAGCACGTAGAGTAAGATCAGATTAAGACCAGATTAAGATGAAAGCATACGAGACCATCGAGATTAAGGACAGATTAAGAGAGAGTCGTGTGGATCGTCCGCTGGCAATTGTTGGAGTAGTTGAAGCTAGGCCGTCCATTTGAAGAAGGGACCACCTAGGTTAATTAAGGACTCCACATAAGCTAGAGTAGACCTAGCTACGTGATTGAACTTGATTTGAACTTGTTAGAATCCGGTGATTATGGTCAGCCGGATTACTCCGTGATTAGGGTTCGGACCGAGTTAGGGTTTGAACTAGTGAGCGCCGGCGTGCGTGCACAGCGGTTAGGCGGTTAACCTTGGAGGTTAGGCGGTTGAGAGGGCCGCCGATATGGAGCCGTAGAT